AAGAAAGTCTGAATTGATGCCATGAATAAGATTCTAAGCCTTTTGAAGATTCTGTTCAAGCCTCTGGTCCCGTTCTATTTAAATAGAAAGTCGAGGCCTAACCTGCGTGAGCGATTCCCTTGGAATTTACATCTGGGCAATGAAATCCGAAAAGGGGTTATTACGTAAGAGTTATGTACCAGAAAAACTTCAATCCCATCTTAAACACTACATTCCAATGGTTATGTGGGCATGGGAGCAGAGTGGCGTGCAGCAGCATACATCGGCATACACCACATGCATGCGTTTCGATCCCAGTTCTAGCCCAGTATTGGGAAGATGAATCGCTGATCCGCTGAAGGCTCGAATTTTTTGCGTGTTCACTCGAAACGACTGGGAAATTCCTTCGAGAGTTCCCCAGCCAATTCCTTGTGAACACGCAATAAAGTTCAAGCGTGCAGCATGGACTTCAGCATGAACCCCTAAGCCCTTCTGCAAGCGGAACCAGTACGACACCAGGGCAAATCGAAAGGAAGGGTAAGTCCAAGCAACTGGCGCGCGCTCACTTTTCAGCGCTATCCTTGCGAAGACCTAATTGGGCCAATCTTCACGCTTCCTGCCATAGTTCTTTGAATAGGGAGCACCGAAATCAACCAAAGACGAAACCTCGAAACATCCACTATAAAAATTCTTCTCCCAAACCTTTTCGAACACTGCAGACTGCCACTGAAGAGATATAAACCGATTTGAGGTGCATGCCAGAAGCAAAAAAAGAGAGCACCCGGATGGTGTTCATTTATTGGAGGTCGTAAAGTTTCTGCAGAAAAGTGCAAAGCAGCTCGGACAAAGGAGCATTCACGTTGCAAGTTTTGGTAATATTACCTTCATAGTTTCAATCCCCTAATTGGAAATGCGCTCCTGGAAACGCTCGCCGATTGAACATTCAGTACCCACTGCATTTTTCGAAAAAAATCAACGAAGAAAAAAATTGCTGTGCATTATTCGGCGCAGCGAACGGTAGCTCATTTCTCGTCCCTCGTTTAGCTATACCAGTAAAAGGAATCGTCCGCTTATCTTTTCGTTTGCTCAACAGGAGCCTCAGTTGGACTTCGTCCATTTCGAGATGATCCAGAAGTCCATACGGACCGCGGCAGGAGTCATTAGGCGCGCACATGCATTTTGGTGCGTCATTGTTCTAGCGATGCATTCATCGCCCCTGCCAATGCCGTCGCTGCGGCTGAATCGATGCCGACACGGGCTCTCTTCGTGGCTCCATTTTGCCCCTGACTGGCTGCAGCATACATCCGTGTCTGACGAACGATTTCACAGATAATCCAGGACGTGATGAATCACTGACAACACGCGATGACGCTCATTCGGTTCAGTTGCGAAGGAGGTCGCTCGTCTTTGCGACTTCGACCTTCAGCCTGCCTCAATAACAGCTTGTTTTGCATGACTTCAGCTGTGTTCATTACTATCAAGAGAAGTCAGCTCTGATCAAGGGGCACTCATTCGTGGTCTATAACGCTAATCGCGCACCATTCATCACGCAAAGCCAGCTCAAAGAGCCGCGCTTTAGACGTCTTTCGGGCACTCTTTTAGCTTTGGCTTCCCATAACTGAAAAGGCAGGCGTCATTTCTAATGAGCACGACTCATTGAAAATGTCGCCTTGATTTCGAAGAAAATGGCGAGTTCTAGAACTAATTCTTATAAATCCAGCGCAATATTCGAGAATGCCTGCTTCCTTTTCATCCAACGACAACAAACGAACCACAATGGGGACCATTCTTCAGGGTTTTGAGATTGAAAACGATCTTTGGGGGGAAACACTAACGACCCTGACGTCGAAACGAAAGAAATACTGTTAGGAATGAATCTTTAATCGTGCCTATGTAAATTCTGAAACGTCACCGACATGCTCACGTCATCAACGGGACGCATTCATGTGCTTTTGATCGGGCCGCCTCCATCACCACCGCCAGACCTGCACCTGTGAAGTTTTATGGATTTAGGCGGCCCCCTTTTTTGATGGCTACCTTTTCGTTGGGTGGCGGAAATAGCTGAACGACAATGGGAATTCGAAAAGAGAAGCGCGATTCTTGACGGGCAATTTGAGCACACGTTATTTGAGCTTCATCTTGCACTGATCGAGTCCGCAAACAGAAAAGTCAAACTAAATTGCTCCCCACTTCTCACATGACATGCGGGACCGTCTAATAGCTTCTACATATGGGCGTTCGCCAATAGGGAAGGAGGAAACAGAAAATTAGAGACCTTATTAAGCATATGGGTTATATAGAAGTGCTGCAGTGCCAGAGGAGCCTCTAAGGTTTGTGTCTGGCATAAAACTCGAAGGAGAAACGAGGTCTCTATCGATATTTTGACTGATCGATTAGCGAAAGTTCCCATTTCTATGGAATTCCTCTTCGAAATCGAATCCATTCCACACCACGGAGAGGAGGCTTATTAAGTCCGACGATTTCCGCTTATAAACTATAATTTCCCCCTCATTATGAATTAGTGCAATTTCGCAATGGCACATAATCGTACATATCAAACATGTGGAACAACTCTTCTGGCTGTTCCATTTGAAAAACGCCCAACGACCAGATATCTCCCATTGATAGGTCTTTTTAGGATCTCTATTATCCTAGCCTCGTTCAATTTAGTTGCTCCCCAGAACCGGACCCACCCGATCATAACAAAAGCGCTCGTCGGTCTTTATATCGATGTGCAATGGCTTGTGAGAATCCGCTTCGACTCCGTCATCATTCGGCACGATTTATTCAGCGGTAAAATGGGACGAGGAAAGAACGTCAACGAGAAAAGATGCCGGCGGTGGCAATTTCGTCATCGAGCTTTAAGTGCATGTAACGACTAAAACATATTGACGTTCCATGCAATAAATTCAATACGCCCACGAAACTGTAGACGATAATGCGTTAGGGCGGGGGCGAGGGACAAACGATAAAATGGAATGTGATGGAAAATCCGAAAAAAAAACAAGTGAGAAGCAAATCACCAACAGAAAGTGCCACTGAAACGGCTGGAGTCAAACCTAAGGTAAGCAACCTAAGGTCAGCCTTTGATGAGGATCGTATCTCATCGTTTCGAGAAGCGGGTCGTATTCTTATAATTATTGGTACCGATGAACCGAGTTCAGTATGAAATTATGTAATCCTACTGGTCTCATGTAATATATCCCATGTAATCCTACTGGGATAAATTTCACTGTTGTTTTCCTGATTCTCATAGAAAGACTATAGAAATGCCAGAAGGGAGGAAGGCAAGAACATAAGAAACTCCAAATATGGAAATGTGAGAATCATTGTAAAAAACCATCGAATGAAATAAAAAATTGCTGGAAGTTCAAAAAAACCTCGAGACGGAAGAGTCTTAAAGAGAAAACCCAAAAAAATTGAACCATCGAAAACCTATCGGCTTCAAAAAAAA